CCTAGCACTGTGTGGCACATTAGAGCAGCTGTATGTGCCAAACAATGGAAACTTCCTTAAAATTGTGGAGCTGATGGCTGAGTTTGATGCTATACTCCAGGAGCATCTAAGAAGAGTCATCACCCAAGAAACGTACACACCCCAATTCAAAATGAGATCATACAGTTAATGGCAACAAAAGTCAAACAGAAGATTGTGGCAGATCTGAAGTCAGAAAGATATTACTCGGTTATTCTGGACTGCATACCTGACATCAGCCATATGGAATAAATGACTTTAATGGTGCCTTTTGTAACAACAGAACCTAGTGAAAATGTCCCTGCAATGGTGACTGTTAGAGCATTTTCTAGAATTTATTGACATTGAAGATACTACAGGAGCTGGTCTGACAAATTCCAGCTTTTTAAGAAGCACAGATACGGGAATTGCGATAGCTGACATGAGAGGTCAGGGCTATGATAATGGTGCCAACATGAGAGGAAAGAACAGAAGAGTGCAGACACGGATCCAAGAGTTAAACCCTCGAGCTTTTTTTGTCCCATACAGTTCTCATTCATTGAAATTAGTGGTCAGTGATGCAGCATCAGCTTCTAGGGAGGCTGCTGAATTTTTTAATGTAATTCAAAGCATCTATGTATTTTTCTCTGCATCAACTCATCGATGGCAAAGTTTGAAGCAATATCTGGGAACATCCTCTCTGACACTGAAACCACTGAGTGCCACATGATGGGAATGTTGAGTGGAGGCGATAAAGCCTATCAAACACCAAATTGGGAAGATAGATGATGCCATAGTTGCCATTATAGAGGATAATGCTATGACAGGAACTGTTCGTGGGAGAACAATGGCAGAGGGAAATGGAATCACCAGAAACATACATAACTTCAAATTTCTGTGTGGGCTTAGTGTTGTGGCATGACATACTGTTTGAAATAAATGTTGTAAGCAAGAGACTCCAAGGTATCTGGAGCAATGGAACAACTGGACAAAGCAAAGTCATACCTACAGTCTTACTGGTCAGATGAGGGATTTCAAAACGTTCTGAAGAGTGCACAGAAGCTGGCAGAGGAACTTCACACTGAAACTATTTTCCCACCCATTCAAGAGTCGCCGAAGAAGATGACATTTTGATTACGAGGCACGGGATAATCCCATAAGAGACCCCAAACAACAATTCAAAGTTGAATTCCTTAACCAAGCACTAGATTGTACAATACAGTCAGTTGAAGAACATTTCATGCAGCTCAAGAAACACAGCAGTATATTTGGGATGTTGTAGGATATTCCAAAACTCCTCACTATACCTGAAGAAGACCTACACCAGCACTGCAGGGCACTAGAGACAGTGTTGACACACGATGACATGAGCGATACTGATGCGAGTGATTTAGGTGATGAACTGAAAGCCCATTCACGATACATTTCAGCAGAATCAACTCCAAAGGCTGTTCTAGAATATATATATATATATATATATATATATATATATACACACACACACACACACACACACACAC